AGAAAATGCTCAGATAAAGCCTATACATGACAAGTTCTTATTTGCTCAGAATGGTATAACAGGTCTAATTGCACCCTGGGTCGGGTAAGACTTTCACTTATCTTAAAATGGCTGCACAACAAAAGAACTAGATGAGAAGAACCCATTCTATGAGTTAGTTGTTATTTGTAGTACTTCTGGTCAATTTGACCAAACCGTCAATTCGTTCAAAGATATTATAAAGAAGTCTAAGTTAGTATGTATAAAGGATACTGAGTTGTTAGATTGGATAAAGAAGTACCAAAGAAGAGTTTTGAAGTATAATGCTATAAATGAGTATATAAATTCTAAGTTTAAAGACCCAAATGAGGAATGCAGAGAATATTAGAGAAGAAACACTTCAGAAACAAACAGAAAGAGATAGAATACATTTCGAAGAAATTGCAATCTTACGATTGGAAGACTTACCCTCATAGATGTCTTCTTATCTTAGATGATTTGCTTCTCATCCTTTGTTAAAGAACAGAGAACAAGATATGTGTCGAATTCTTAAGAAGCTCAGACACTTTAACATCTCAGTCGTAATATGTGTACAGACAGCAAAGAGTTTAAGTAAGGATGTTAAAGAATACTTACTGACATAATACTTTTCCCGGATTGTCCGAAGACGATTTCATGGAACTTATGAAAGAGTCCATGGCAGGTAAGTTTGACAGACATGAACTATGGGAGAAGTACAAAGTCATACAAGACCCTCATACTTCTTTCAGAATTCATATCTACGCAAACAAAGTTCAAATTGTAAAAGTCAATAAATAAAGAGTTCATTTACTCTGCTTGTTTGAAGTTGTCAAAATACTCTGTTATTTTTTCCTTTAACAATGGCAAATCTTCTTTGAAGGTAAGAATTGTACAACCTTTAATATCATAGTGTGTTTGAGGTAACGTATCTTGAACTATTTGTTTCACATCTTCATTCGGTGTCATTGAAATCGGTAAGTTTTCGCGATAGAACCAATTTCTGTCAGATTTGTAAATCTTAGCAAGGTCGTAAAAGCTTTTGTTGTTTCTTCTGACTAAATGCAACATAACCATATCTCTGTCTTCTTCATTTTCCATCTCTTCAGTATAAATCATATACTTATAGTTCTTTTCCTTTCCTTTTGGTACCGAACGTGGTATTCTTTTCTGAATGCTTTTGTCTTTTGCTTCAAGCTTGTTTTCCATCTCTTCACGTTCTTGTCTATGATTTGTCAAGAAGTCTGTAAATATACCAAGCATAACGAGGCGAAGCCCACATTGCAACAGCATTTACAAGAAGTCTATGTAATAATATCCTCTCAAACGTTTGGCAATTTTTCACGATTTTCATAGAGTTTTGGCGACTGGGGTTTTTCTCCCACTCGCTGTTCTTCACTGTTTTCATGAGTTTTAGGCGACTGGGGTTTTTTACCTACTCGCTGTTCTTCACTGTTTTCAGAAAAAAGTATGTCTCGCTGTGCTTCGCTCAAAAGTTCTTGTGTGCTTTGGTTCCTAAACCAGTCTTTAGGAAGCTTAGTATCTGGAGCAAAACATGCTGTCAAAATACTTTGCATTTGGTACATATCGTCTTTGACCGAACGAATGAGACGTAACTGTTTGTTATACTGTATGTACTCATATTCTTCATTTATAGCTTCATGAACGATAGCAGTTGTTGTGTTCTCGTTGTTGACATATCTGTCTTTACATACAAATAAAAAAATAAATAAAAATAAACTAATTTATTTTTTCTATCTTTCACAAAAGACCAAAAATAAACGCTTTACATGTATTTTTAGCAACTTCGTCAAATAATTTTATAGCTTTATCTATCTCATCTACTTTAAACGTTTCTTTACCTTTCGTGGGCACCATACATTTTCTCAAACTTTTCGAGTAGTTCTGTTTCAGCAGCTCTCATATCATTAACGAACACAACCTTGACTCTATTGACTGTACTGTCATATCTTAGAGTTATATTATATGTCCTTCCTATCTTATATCTCTTTGTATTGAAGTCCTTCGGTTTCTGAACGATGTAAAGTAAGCCTTCACTGCAACGTTCTGAGTCGAATAAACCATATGTTATGAAGTTATATCCAACAACTGGGTCTAACCATAACAAAACTATTGGTATAAGACTTTTGTCTATAAGATATGCTGTAGTTCCATAGAATCTTACCGATATCATAAGCTCAGGATTTCTTGTCAAAATTTTCTGAGTTGAAGCAATTCTAACCCAGTCGTTTGGTCTCTTTCCAGATGGAGATAAAATGTCTGACAAAGAATATTTGTTGTATTTCTTTGAGTATCTTACGTTTAAATCACCTATTCTAACACTTTGGTGTCATTGTCTATCTTTCTAACTGTTTCAAACTCAATGTTTGTCATTTTCTGTTCTTACATACAAAATAAAAAAATAAAAAAAATAAAACTAACTTTATTTTTTCTATCTTAAGGAAATTCACGATTTTCATGAGTTTTAGGCGACTAAGTTTTTTTCCCTACTCGCTGTTCTTCACGATTTTCATGAGTTTTAGGCAAGGCCGGATTTTTCCCTACTCGCTGTTCTTCATGATTTTCATGAGTTTTAGGCAAGGCCGGATTTTTCCCTACTCGCTGTTCTTCACGATTTTCATGTGTTTTAGGCTAGACCGGTAAAAGTCGGTCTAGAGAAATTTCACGATTTTCATACGGAATCTCTTCCCTCGGTTTTCCGAGGGAAGCAATCTTATGCCATTTTACTCAGAATTTTGGTCATTTTTCAGTAAAAATAATGTTTAGGTGAAGAGGTGAGATCTCACCCGTTTTCTCACCTCATGTTTTGTCAAGACTTCTTCGTAAATGTTTTGTCAAGACTTCTTCGTAAATGTTTTGTCAAGACTTCTTCGTAAATGTTTTGTCAAGACTTCTTCGTAAATGTTTTGTCAAGACTTCATCGTAAATGTTTTGTCAAGACTTCTTCGTAAATGTTTTGTCAAGACTTCTTCGTAAATGTTTTCTCACCTCATGTTTTGTCAAAACTTCATCGTAAATGTTTTGTCAAGACTTCATCGTAAATGTTTTGTCAAAACTTCATCGTACATGTTTTCTCAAAACTTCATCGTACATGTTTTGTCAAGACTTCTTCGTAAATGTTTTGTCAAGACTTCTTCGTAAATGTTTTCTCACCTCTTGAATTTTCATGACTTCTTCGTACATGTTTTGTCAAGACTTCTTCGTAATGAGTGTAAAGGACCCAAAAATAATGTTTAGGTGAAGAGGTGAGATCTCACCTGTTTTCTCACCTGTTATTTTATAAGCGTTTTACATGAATTGTACGATGTATATTTGAAATCCTAAACAATTTCGTAGCTTCTATTTCTTCTGTCAGTACATCGAATGTTTTAACAATGCCGAAAGTTTCTTTATACTTCTTCTTGACGTCAGACAGAAGGAAATCTTCTGCTGTTGGATAGTTTATGTTCAGAAATTCTAACATGTTCATTTTATCTTCTACCGGCTTTTCTGCTTCTTTCTTTAAGTCTGCATAGTCGTTTCTCATTCTTTCTATCTCTTTGACGGAGTAGTTATATTTCCTAATTGCTGCTTTACATTTAGAACATTGTGGGTTCAACTTTGCGTTATATTCTGAAACCTTACCTGCTAAAACAACTAAGGCGTCAATGGTTTTCTTTAAATCTGAAGCAGTTGGTTTTATCTGTTCATTCCATACCTTACCTCTTCTGTCTTTATCTCTTATTTCCCAAACACATTTTGCAGCTAATGAAACAAAGTTGTCGTAGGTCTTAAACTCCCCGGATTTATATATGTCAGAAACATTCTTATATACCATGTCGCAATCTTTGTCCATAACTTTATGGTTGCAATGAAAACCAAGAAATTCATAATTTACCTTTCGTATGAATTTCTTTATTTCTACCGAGTCAGTTGCTTTGACTTCAATTTCGTCAAATTCGGGAATGGTTAGTTTTTGTTGCTGAATTTCAGGCAATTTGGGTAAATGGTCAATAATGTCCTCTATTTCATAAAGATACTGTTCATTTGTTTCATCTTTCGCACTACAGTCTAAATTACTTGTTAAAAGTTCTTGCTTTATCTTCTGGATTTCTGTTTCGAAAGTATATGAAGAAGGAATGAAGCTTTTCATCTCTACCAACATAGATGTTGGATTCATAACTAACGAGTTTGGTGAAGTTGTTGTTTGAATTGCTGTTGTGCCGATTGTTGAAATCATATTTTTATCAAAATAAAAAAAATAAATAAAAATAAATAACTTTATTTTTTATTTCGGGAAAATTCATGAAAATTCAAGAGGGTGAAAAAAGAGGTGAGAAAACGGGTGAGATCTCACCTCTTCACCTAAATTATATTTTTGTCTGATTTACGCTCATTACGTTCATGTTTGACAAAACATTTACGATGAAATCATGAAAATTCAAGAGGTTAGAAATGAGGTTAGAAAAGAGGTTAGATCTAACCTTCTACCCTAAACATTATTTTTACTGAATTTAGCAACAAAATGAACGAGGTCAGGATGTATGTTGCTGAATTCATTCATAACACCTTTGTAAGCTCATAAAATGCTTGTTTTGAGGTCGAGCCACTTTTGGCTCCACCGTATTCTTTCAACCAAAACTCAAGAATTTCCCGCATGAATTTTGTATAAAACCAACGTCGGAATTCCGGCGGTTGCTATATTTTGACAAAACATTTACGTTTAGTTTACGATGAAATCATGACAAATTCATGAGGTGAGAAAAGAGGTGAGAAAACGGGTGAGATCTCACCTCTTCACCTAAATTATATTTTTGGTCCGGGAACAACTTTCTCTCAATTGGGGCTGTGGCATAATCTTTGCGTAAACGGTTCAGACCTTCTTCGAACTCTTGGTTTCTCTTCGATTTGGATTGAGATTGGAATTGTTGGGGTGGAGCTTGCTGGAACATCCAAGGGTTGGGGCAGTAAGGCATAGGCTGAGGAGGGTAGTTCGGGAAGCCTTATGGTAGGTAGTAACCTTGAGGTGGAAATTGGTAGTAATTCGGAGGTACTTGCTGGAACTGAGGTGCAGGGGTTGGTGCTTTCGGTTCCTCTGGCTTTGGAAGGCGTTCAGGAAGAGGGACGTCGGACATTCGTTTGTGTCCTGTCGGAAGGAAGAACTTTTCCTGTCGGAAGGAAGAACTTTTCCTGTCGGAAGGAAGAACTTTTTCTGTCGGAAGGAAGAACTTTTTCTGTCGGAAGGAAGAACTTTTTCTGTCGGAAGGAAGAACTTTTTCTGAAGTTCGACCAAAAAGTTCTCAATTTTCGAAAATTTGAATGGTTTACGGACGGAAAACTGGAAAAATTTTTCCTGTCGGAAGGAAAATTTTTTTCTGTTGGAAGGAAAAACTTTTTCTGTTGGAAGGAAAATATTTTTCTGTCGGATGGAAGGACTCGGAATGCCAGAAGGATTTGACGAGGCAATTTACCTTATAGAGATAAATGAAGTTGTTAAGCAGTACTTGCGCAAGGTCATGAAGCCCAAGGTCAAGTTTACCACTATTTCTGGAAGGGCTGCCTTGAATCTCGAGACTTCGACTGGAATTCCAATTGAGGTACCAGAAAACACTCCTTTCGACGACATAAAGCAAGCAAGAAGGAAGCTCTTGTTAAGTTCCTAAACAAACGTCCTTGGATAAAAATACCAACAAGGAGAACCCCCTACCCCATATGAAATTGGCAATTCAGGTCTCTCCTTCACTTCTCTGGTCAACATTCTACATAACTACAGAAGGCGACATCCAACCAGTTCAGTAAACATTCTCATTTTAACTTCACTTTTTTTATGTTTTTTTGAAAGTGTCAAATAAATTGTTTTCATGAGTTTTCTACGATGTTAGAAAAAATGTTATTTTCTATATTTCACATTCAATACTTTCTCAGCATTTCCGTAGTTAAATATGAAAGACAATTCGAGATAAAGTCATAGTACAATGGAATAATATGTTGCACACCATTTGTTGTGAACCAATTGAAAGTCAGAGAAATGTTACTAGGTGGTTCGTAGAATTTAGAAGCAAAGTCATAAAAGTCCTTACCAATACATAGAAAACTATTGTTGCTTGAACTGAAACTTGCATGACACATAACATTTTTGAGGGTCAAACACGTTTCTATTAACTGTCAAATCTGATGGTGAAGTATAAATTTAAATGGACCATCTGGTGGTAATGGTTCGTTCTGGTTTGTAACCGAAGAATTGTGCCAAGAAGTTTGTCTACTTCCCAAAATAAAAAACTCTGTATCTCTTGGAGGGTTAATTTCAATCTTTTGAATGAAGGTGGAGTTCATCTTGTCATATTCTAGTTTCAGATAGTATGTTCCATTTAGTAAAGAGTGTATTTTTTTGAAATTCCCAATAATATTTGTTTATTTGAGTTTGAAAGTCATTTAGAGTTTTTTCAAGACTTTCGTCTGAACGAACTGTAAAGATTCTCATTTCGTCAAATTTGTCTATTAGACCATCAGAACCTTTATACTGCCCATGAAAATATACTGCGAACATAAATGCGTTAGTTTCTATTTGAAAACAAAACTCTTCTAAATCCTATTGCCTTTGCATCTGAAGGACTTTGAAGCCAACGAATTGGATAGTCAACCTGTATGCTCGGGATGAAATTTCTTCATCTGATATTGTCCTACCAGCATTTGTAAAGATATAGTCTAACGGTTTTGTATCTGCTACTTTTGTTCTTTGTTTTTCAACCTGAAGCATTTAATATATGTAAAAATATATTGTTTTAAAATGGTATGCCATATAGCTTCTTGAATTTGTTAAGAAGTATTTGAACGTTTTTTCCATCTGTATCTCTAGTGTTTACATAAGCATAGCCCGCCTTAGTAAAATATACTTGTAATTTCCTATAGTTTACACCGGTATAAAAGTAGAAAGAGTCTTGTTCTTCGCTATAGTAGTAAAACTCCAACGTATGCTTGCCATAGTCTGTAATTTCAATTGTTTCATCTTCTAGTTCGTCGACAAATTCGAATACAATATCTCCAAATTTGCCTTTGTTCTTATTGTTTCAGAACAAGTGACCCAACGTAAGTTTTCAAGTCTATTGTCGTTTCTTATACGGTTTATATGGTCTACAAAAGGTAAATTGTTAGATTCAGTATAAAATGAGTTGCAATGACAACATGTTTAAGATAGTGTTTTCCACCATCTTCATTAATAGCATATCGTTATTTCGCTCCCGTTCGCTTTAAAACTCTTTTTGTCTTTTTGTTTCTGACTTCAAATGACTCACAACAGTGAATTTCATATTTCTCATCTAACAAACAAGTTTCCCAACGGTCTGCTCCAACAAACTCAGCGTACATTTCAAATAAAATTAAAAAAATGTCACTTTTTAAAAATAAATTTTTACTTCATGCAATGTTTAACACATCGAAAGGCATGTTCATAAGACGTTCTTCTTCTAACCTCTCTAGTCTGTTTGGATAATTGGCATGTGCTGTTTCCAAATCCATTTCGTAGCGAAGACCAGCAATTTGTCATAGACTTTTATGGGTCTTCCCTTCCTATATTTAAAATTCTTCGAAACTCCAACCATATCTTTGTAACTCTGCTTTTTTTCTAGCAGACTTTCTATCCATTCTATATGGGGGCATTTTTATAAAAATAAAAAAAATGTTTTTTTTCTTTACTTTACATAACCGCCTGCTGCCATAAGTCTTTGACGCCAACCCATACCAGCTAATGAAGGTTGACTTGGTTTAGTTTCCAAACTAAACTTTGGTTTTGGTTTATCTTCAGTTTTTGGTTTTTCTTCTTCTATCGGTTTTTCGTCACTTTTCGGTTCCTCTGACTGTACCTCACCTGCAGGAACAGTTGTGTTGTCAACATCTTCATAAATATCATATGCCATTTGTTTTTGTTTTCCTTTCAACTTTTTTGTTTTTGTAAAGTTTAGAATATTTCGACTCTAAGTCAATGAGATGTTCTATAATGAACTGTTGGTCAGTGAAGTAAACTTTTCCATCTGTTTGTCTCGAAAGCTCCTTCAGACTTCAATATTTTATTTGTGAGAGTCTGTTTCTTTTTTTGAGATACTAGCCGTTCCATTTCTATGAAAGTGACTTTGTAGTTAGGGTTTGCATTTCCAGACCTGGCACTTTCTATTATTGAATTTTTCTCTTCATCTGTAAGTTCTTTGACAGGTTTTGACAATGGTTCTGAACTTTTTGTTTGTGGTGTCAAATCTACGGTTTCAACTTCTTCGGTCATTTCATCTCAGTAAAAAATTTTAGTTTGGTTTGTTTTCAACTGGTTGTTTAGGTTTTTTAAGTCGGTCTAAAACTTCCTGAGGTATAGGAAGAACTTGACAAACACGTGGTGTAACTGCTGGAAGCCGACAAATCCATCTTGAACCCATTTGTCTCAATGCTGTATTGTTCATTTCATCTCAGTAAAAAATTTTACATTCCCCACGTTTGAGGCGGTTGAGGTTGGTTATTGTTTACCCATTGTTGTGCATGGTTATATCCTCTGTTAAAGAATCTTTCACCTTGGTCCATATAGTGTCCTGCTTGTTATAGTAGTCATTTGCTTTGTTATAATAGTTTCCTGCTTGTCTTCCTACATTGTCCATCCATCCTTGAACTTTTCCTCTTGTTTCAGGATTTGGAATAAGATTTGCTGCATCTCGTGCTACATCCCAACCTTTCTGTACAGTTTGTATAATAGGTTGTGCTTTCTCTTTAAGTATACCTAATGTACTCAAAATCTTCCTTCCAACTCCAAATACACCTCTGGCTATTGTTCCCACTGCGGGCAAAAATCTAGATGCAACTCCTGCTAATGCGCCAAATAAACCCATTTCTTATGGGTTAAAAAATGACGAATCCAAACAAGGACCCCTATTTTCTAAGGCAACAAAGAAAGCACTCATGATAAAAATCTTTAGTTCAACACCAAATGCTTGGTTTATGGATATCTTGGAAAACATTCCGAGAGTTAGAACAGATGGACCTCCATACTGGTTAATATTTGTTGGTCAAAACACAAGATACTGTGAAGCCATACCATTATGGTCCAAAAATATTTTAGATGTGAAAACTGCTTTGACAATATTCGTTGACAAATACCATCCAACAAAACTGACATCTGACTGTGAAAGTTCTTTCAAATCAAGATGATGTAAAAAACTATCTGCGTTCAAAAAATGTAAACCAATATTCATTGTCGACCAAAACCATTCTGCTCTTGGTGTCATTGACGGTTGTATAAAAATGTTAAGAGACTTAAACCAACCACAAGGTGGTGAAGCAAATGAAATGTCATATGACGACAAGTATAGACACTTCTCCCAGGCAAAGATGAGACAAGTTTTAAATATTTACAATAACCGTAAACAAAAAGGTTTGGGAAACCACTCCCCCGAAGAAATGAAAAACAACCCTGACTTAGAGAAAGACTATATATTTAATAATTTAGTCAAAAGAGACAAACAAGAAAGAATGCCGGGCTTCAAACTTCAGAAAGGTGACAAAGTAAAAATAGAAATACCTAAACGCGACCCATATGAAAATACTATTGACTATGACAACAATGGGAACTCGACAGGTACTCACATTCGTGTTCGTAAAAATAGAAGAAAGTATACAAGAGAATATTATGAAGTTTTAGGCAACATGGCAAATGTACACACTGCAAGCAGAAGATAAAACTACTATTGTCAGACCTCGTTTCAAACTTGTCAAAGTTCAAGGTGGTATACTTTCAAAGACAGTTCCTAACAAATATAAGACAACTCCTGACGAATATGCTAAAGAAGTTGAAAATGACGACTAAGCAATTCTATACCATGCGTAAACTGTCATGTAAGGTGCATGTATTCTTTACTTTGTCCCGTTGTTTGTGTATATCCTGAAACGCGATGTGTATGGTTTCCATCTCCCTGAGTGTTTACACCCAGAAACAATTTATAGCAAACTGAACGTCGTCTTTAACATCATATCCTTTACCTTTTTTCATTGCTGACCAATCCCAAAATTTATGCTTATGCCAACCTGCTTGAGATGTACTTAAATCTATGTAGTGACTGTGTGCAGGTAAATTTTCACCTGAAATCGTTTTACTTCCACCTGT